AACACTATAAAAGACTTCAGAGAGTCTTGCGGGTTGGGGGTTTATTATAGATGACCAAATTCAGATTTGGAAATGGTTATGACTCTACAAGGTCTTGGGAGATTTCAGTATCAGTGGAAATTGAGTAATTATGGGAACCATCAATTTTTCCTGATCTAGACTTGGGCATGAAAACTGCACATAATAATAGTGTACAGATATTTGTGAATGAGTTAACTAAAAACTTTTCCTACCAAGAGGTCTCTGTACCAACAAGAAACAAGGCTACGTAAGTTCTAGATGTTACAGTAGAAATGATTGTGAGAAATAGTCAGGGGCAGATTCTATTCCACCTATGAGATGTGCAAGTGGTTTTAGGTGCCTAAGTGAACTCCCATTCCACCCTGCTCAAGACCCTGAAAACCCTTTAGAACACTTTTTGTAATAACCCTTCATCCCACCCTGAGAGAGTACAAAACACAGCATGGAAGAGGGGTAGGGGTGAGGATGTCACCTCTTTTGCAGTAGTTGTCCATTTGGTTGTCTAAGTAGCCATTGTGCCTAACAGCCTAAATGACAAAATGGAAGTAGAAACTAGTGCTTTTCAGGATGAAATGCACATCAGCACTAAGAAAATGGTGGTGGCACACTTTTGAGCTAAAACACATCAAAGGTGTTTTAGTTCAAAAGCACACCGCTGCCATTTTCTGCGCGCTGCCGTGCATTTCACTGTTTATACAAACGTATGCAATGCAGCACCGAGCATGGTAGCTCACATGCTCTGCAGATGCAGTTAATCATGTCTGCTCCATCACACTGGATTTCCAGCGTATCGGAGCAGACGAAGGTAAGTGTATAAATGCAAACAATGTCTATGTTTTTAAAAAGGAGAGAAAGTCACGCAGGTACTAACAGCCCTAGTAGCATGGTTTCAACAGCAGGTGAGATCTTAGAACAGGAACTGCAGGAAAGACTAATGAAGGATGTAGACAGAAATGGAAAATGGTACAAAACATGATATGAACTTATCAGAGGATGACTGTGTCAAAATAATTTCTTATAGCAGAATAAGACATTTCTTGGATAAAGGTAGTGCGGTGGGCTTAATTTATCTAGAACTCAGCAAAGCTTTTGATACCATGCCTCATGGAAAGCTACTTAATGAATTAAATGAATTTCATAGAGAAGCAGGGCTGGAAGGGATTTCTAAAGGTCATCTAATCCAACCCCCATCCTGAGGAAGGATAATCCCTATCCAAACCAACAATGCATAATTTAAGCTCCTCGTAAGACTGCTGTAAACCCTGTGAAACAACACAAGTCATAACACCCTAATGTGCCACAAGTAAAGCAGGGGAACCACAGTAGCCAATGTCCAGCTTCTATAAAAGATTAATATACACTTGAGAGATCCCAGGGAGAGGGCTACGTCCCCCCACTACAGAGGAAGGCAAAAGCCCCCACAATCGTACCAATCAGGCTGTGGGGGAAAATTCCTTCCTGACCCCAAATATGGTGATCAGACCCCAGGCAGAGGGGCAAGACCCTCCAGTCAGGAACCTCCAGCTTTGGTCTGACTAGCAGCATTGGCACACCCCAGTCAAAATCTCCAAATTTGGCTGCAACCAACACACACTGCCTCTGAGGGAAGCTTTAAAACACCCTGACACATGTAGCAGAAAAGTGTTGGGAGAGGGTGCAAGAGCAATTGGTAATGCTCAGAAGCATGGGAATAATCCATAGGAGAACGTTGGCGTTAGCTATGCCTAAATCATCCCCAACCTTTTCTTGAACGCTTCCAGGGGTGCGTCCACACGTGCAGGCATGTGCACTTGCAGCAGCTCAAATAGGATCGGCACAAATCTGTGCTAGGGATTTTTGCCTCAGCACATGTGCCTGGACATGCACTTTGGTGTGGGGCAAGTTGTGCCACTTGGGGCAAAATGACCCTGCCCAGCTCCATCTGGATCTGCGACCAGGGGGAGCTAGAGCCTGGGGCCAGCACCTGTGCTGGCCCCAGCAGTTTAAAAACCTGGCCTGGCAAGCAGCTCGTGCCTACTTGCCCTCAGGAGCTTCTGAGGCCCATCCACTTGGTATCTGGGGATACTACCCCTTGTGCCAGCTGGACTGCTGGATTAGGCCCTGCACCCTCTACCCATTGCAGCAGTTTGGCAGTGGGGGTTGCTGTCTGGCCACTTGTAACAGCATCTGCCCCCTTGGATCTGTGGCCCCATGGCTGTGCCCCTTCCAGACCCAGATGGGGTGCCTCGCTCTGCCTTCTGGGCAGCTATTGCCCAGAAGATGTGCTCCTTACAGTGGCCCACTTTAAATTGTCAAGGCATATCCTCTTGGCCCCAAATGGCCACAAAGTCAGCCACCTCATCTGCCCTCCAGCTGTGTCCCTGGTGCTGGCCCTGGACAGGAATCTCTGCATGGATCTCACCACTTGTCTCACCAGCAGAGATCCTGGTGTTCCCTGTTTAAAAATTGCAAATACTCTGATAAGAAACCCAATTCTCTCATTAAAATGCCCAAAATAGTGTTCTTCTGCTATTAAAATGAAAGGCCCCTATATAGAGAGAGATCAGTTGGGCAATGCTTTATTGATATATTTACAAGTGTAAAGCAATTTGGGTGGGTGGAGTTTATGGGTGGGTGTAAGGTTTGCCATGGTGAGGTTTGTGGAGATATGGGGCTTGTGTGGGGGTTTGGGGTTTGTGGCTGGGTATATGGGTGAAGGGTTTGTGGGGGTGGCTTGGGGATATGGGTGTTGTGGGGGGATTGTGGGGGGGGGCACTCAGGAGGGCTGAGTCCCCTGCCTCCCCACAGAATGCAGGCCCCCTGCACAGCACATGGACTGCCCCCCCCCCCCCCCCCCCGGCCCCCCCCCC